ACAATTGTTTTTTTTCCAATTTTTGGCGCTGTCAGAACCACCACAAGGTAATTTTACGTAGTCCTGTGATGTTTTGTTGAAATCGGTTGAAAAATGTAGGAAATCCGATCCAATATATAAACGAACAGACAGAGACACACACACACACACACAACCTGGGTTTTATAATAAGTATGATTATATATGCAAGTGGAAAGAAGTGAAAGATTAGTATATCGTATGTGTTAAAGTTGCGGCAGATTTTTGTAAAAATAGACACAAGTAGAAAAGTAATACTACTACTACTAATACTACGGCTACCATTATTAACATTACTACTACTACTACTACTACTATTATTATTATTACTACTACTATTATTACTACGATTACTACTGCTACAGTTACTACAAGTAGAAAACTAATAAAAGTAAAACATTGTAAAACTTACAAGAAAACTGTTACAAAAAACAATTAACACAATTACTACAACTACTAATACTGTTATTACTACTACTATTCTTGCTACTACAGCTACTATTACTTCTACTATTATTACTACTTCTACTATTATACAACTAATATTATTATGCAAATTTCTTCTTCCTAGCGCGATTCAGTTTCGTAAGTGATTGTTAATATGTTCATTTCCCTATAGTGATTCAATAAACACAGATTTGTTTAAAAGCTTTATCTATACATCTAATGTTTGCGCTTAAACTCTGAAATTTTATTTACTATTTATTTATTCTCAATAGTGGTATCGCCCAGTTTACACTTCTTCTCGGTTTTTTGAATGAGAGTAGGGGTTTACCCCTTGTTTCATGTTTAAAATTAACTTTCCGGTTCCTTTTATAGTCTACTATACTTCTGACATCTCCGCCTAAAATCCGAAATTCATACTATGAAATTTTATTTCCTATTTATTCATACTATGAAATTGTATTTACTATTTATTCATACTATTAAATTCTATTTACTATTTATTCATACTATGATATTTTATTTACTATTTATTCATACTATCAAATTTTATTTCCTATTTATTTGTATATTGTCTCTCTATTGGAGAAGAGAGGTTCACTAGTTCGCACTACTTATCGATCTTTTGAACGGGATTAGGGGTTTATTTATCCTTCGTTCCTTGCTCCTTAATCCTAATCCTTGCTCCTTTTTTAGGATTAAAACTTAATTAAAATCACTGTAAAATGCTTTATGCATGAAACTATCGACAGGCGTTATTTTGAAAAGACGCACGTTATTTGCTATTTTGTATTCTAGAAAATGTTTGAGTATTGCTTGCAGCTTGAAAGCTTTAGTAGAAATTTTACAAATGTTTCTCATTTTGTCCTCTCTTAATATTTACCATATGTATGTTATATTTGCATATATTTACATAATTACTACATCCGGTATGAAGCCCCTGATCGAGAGATTGAAGGTTTTAATATTTACCTTTTGGTTATATCATCCTGGGTCTTACGATATAATACACCCGGCAAGTAAGGCTTCTGATTGAAAGGTTTTGAGATGCGTAGAACCACCTCTTAACTGCTGTTGTTCTATTTATATAGATTTCGCTAAATGTGCAATTTTAGTGACCGAATTCAAATTACATTTCTGCAATTTAATATCAGATAATATATAAATCATGGCTATGTCTGCCATGGATCATTCGAGAAATGGTGAGAAACATCTTTGTCACGTGTATCGTTTTTGCTTCCAGATATAGATATTTTATCTCTGAAATAAGAATGTCTGCGTGTATTTGTGTTTGATATTAATCAAGTTTTTCATTTGATAAGATTTTTGTCACTTCACCTTTCCTTCAGGTTATTTGATAAATATTCGCTTTTCCGAACGAGATTTTTTGAATTTGCTTTCTATATTTGAGAAATCAGTTCAATAATCCATAATTTTAGTTCTCTCTCTGTCTTTCTTTATCTCTTTCAATACTTCTTTCATTCTCTTTCTCTCTTTTCTCCTTTCACTCTTTCTCTCTCATATTTTCTCTCTTTTTCTCTCTCTCTCTTTCTTTCTTTATCGTTCTCTCACTTTTTCTCTTTCTTTCGATATCACTCTTTCTTTCTCATACTTTCTCTCTCTCTCTCTTTCTTTCTCTTTCTTTCTCTCTCATTCTTTCTCTTTTTCTTTCTCTCTTTCTTTCTCTCTATCTTTTGCTCTCTTTCTCCCCTGCTTTCTCACTCTTTCTATCTCATTTTGTATCTTTTTTTCTTACTCTTACTCTTTCTTTCTATGTCACTCTTTCTTTCTCTTTTTTTCTATCTCTTTATCTTTCCCTTACTCCCTTTCCCGGTCAGCCCGACATTTTTATGACTTTCTCTTACTCCGATATCTTTCTTTCTTTCTTTCTTTCTTTCTTTCTTTCTTTCTTTCTTTCTTTTATATCGAATTCTTTATCCTTTTCTCCTTTTTATTTTTAAATTCTTCTCTTCTCTCTCTCTCTCTTTCTTTCTTTCTTTCTTTCTTTCTTTCTTTCTTTCCCATTTCTGCCTCACTCATCGTTATTCCCTTACCTGTCTGTTTCAGTTTTCTATTACATTGCATACCTTTTCTCTTTCACATAGTTTTCGTCGCTTCCTATCTCTTTATTTAGTTCCATAATTTCATTCTTCTTCTTCTTTACCACCTCCTCCTCCTCATCATCATCATCATCTTCTTTTTCTTCTTCTATTCTATCTCTTCTTCTCCTCCTCCTTTTGCAGCTCCTTCTTCTCCCCCTTTTTCGCTTCATCATCCTTCTTCACCCCAACCTCCTTCTTCTCTTCCCCTCCATCTTCATCTCCTCCCTTCTTCTGTTCCTTCTTCCTTTTCCTCTTCCTCTTGTTCCATCTTCATCTCTTCCTCGTCCCCTTCCTTCTTCCTTTTTCGTCGTCGTCCTCCTCCTATTCCTCCTCATTCTCTTCCCTCTCCTTCCACCCCTCCTCCTTCTTCCTCTCTTACCCACCTCTTTCTTCTTCCTCACTCTCTTTCTCTTCTTTCTTACTCTCCACTTCCCCTTTCATACTTCTTCTTCTTCTTCTTCTTTCTTTTCCCCTCCTCCTCGTCCTTCCTCCTCTTCCTCTTCTCTTCCCCCTTCCTACACTTTCTTCTTCTCTTCCCCTCCATCTTCATCTCCTCCCTTCTTCTGTTCCTTTTCCTCTTCCTCCTGTTCCATCTTCATCTCTTCCTCGTCCCCTTCCTTCTTCCTTTTTCGTCGTCGTCGTCCTCCTCCTATTCCTTCTCATTCTCTTCCCTCTCCTTCCACCCCTCCTCCTTCTTCCTCTCTCAACCACCTCTTTCTTTTTCCTCACTCTCTTTCTCTTCCTTTTACTCTCCTCTTCCCCCTTCCTACACTTTCTTCTTCTCCCGTCTACCTAAACAAATCATCTTCTCGGAGCTCGAATGTCGGCAGGAGACCACGTAAAACTCTACGTTGTCGATTCAAGGATCAGCTCAAAAACAACTTTTACTGAGGACAGAAATCGATCTGGTCAATTTGGTGACGGAAGCTGCAGAAAGAATCAGTTGAAGAAGTGCTGTCCACGAAAAAACAACAGTCCAGAGTATTGCCAGAACTCTCCATTCCCCTGAACACCTTACCATGTGGTGGCTGCTAACGTCTCTTCAGATCAAACATAGGACTCATTTCACACAGAAGGAAATGCCATAAGCACTCCAAATACTCAGCAACGAGTTCCGCTAACGACGACGATATTCTTTTTCGCTGAACTATAATAAGCACAGCGACTAGATTCTATTTTTTTTCTTGTTACTATAGATTAAGCATTCCAGACAATCAATTTGTTTTTATTAGATTTTATAAAAGGGGGTTCAGTTTGCAATGTAAATTCATTGCAAATTGGTCCTCCCTACTGAAGCGAGTCCTGGGTATGACGATAAACTACATCCGGCAGCAGCGCATTTGATCGGCATGTTTCGAGGATTGTGGAACCACCCTTTAATTGCTGTTGTTCTCAGCACCTGCTAGGGTCCCAGTTATGGTCAAATAGTGACCCCCACCCCAAAAAAAGAAAACTAGTGTAAAAAAAACTATAGTATAGATTTTTAAAAAAAGTAAATAAATTACCAGCAATAGACTTTTGTAAAAAGAAAAATTACTGAAGCTCCCAAGAAAATTAAATGTGCCGTTAAACAAACGAGACTCGGTGATTATGGGATGTAACAGTGAAATAAAAAAATATCTAATACGAAGTTTTGTGATAAAGAATGGCAAAAATTTATACTTTTGCCTTGATTATCCTCTCTGCGTGTCAAATTTCCCATTAAGTATCCTAAAATTTCAACTGTGCCATTCCGATTGCAAGTTGGCTCTCTGTGCCGCGCCAGGAAATTTTTCTCCCCGGAATCGATCCTCCAGATCTATAAATCAACCATTCGCCCTTGCATGGAGTATTGCTGCCATATATGGTCTGGAGCCCCTTCTGTTTGCCTCGGGGTTCTTGATAGGCTCCAGAGGCAGATATGCAATATAATTGGCCCTGATCTGGCATCTCGTCTACAGTCACTTTCTCACAGACGCGCCGTCGCCTCTCTCTGTCTGTTTTACAAATACTTTCATGGCAATTGCTCCGAGGAGCTGCACTCGCTGGTTCCCAGACTTCATGAGTTCAAGCGCCCTACGAGGCTGGCATCCCGCTCTCACCCTTTCACTGTCGAAACTACTAAATGTAGCCGTCTCTTCTACTCCGATAGTTTCATGTCTCGCACCTCTCGCCTGTGGAACTCCCTTCCCTATTCCAGTTTCCCTGAGAGCTATAATCTCCAACTATTCAAATGTGATGCCAATCGATATCTCCAGTTGCCTTGATCTATCCACTATCCTTCTCCTCATCCTTTCTTCTATCACTCCTATCTGATGTTCCTCAAAAAAAAAAAAGTATCCTTTTCTTTAAACATGTTTTGTTGCCCACATGTTTCACCCTTCTTAGCATCCTTCTATAGAATCACATCCCTGCTGCATCGTCTCCTTTTCATTTCCATATTGCAGTGTTCATGGCTTACGGCCACATCACGTTGAATCACCGGTTCTCGTATGATCACCGATGTTAAGCAACGACGAATCTGGTCAGTACCTAGGTTAGTGACCACTTGGTAATTCCAGATACTGTAAGCTTGGATGTGCGGTTGGTGTGGATTACGGCCATATCTCGTTGAAACGCTGGTTAGTACCTCGATCGGTCACCGCTTAGAAATATCAGAAATATAAGCTTGGATGTACGGGTGGTGTAATGAATAACGGCTCGGAATTGGAAACTGGATGGTCGAGTTTCAATTCCAGTCGGGTTTGTTATATTCACTTACGCGCAAATACCCATGAGGGAAGTATGAAATCACCTTTTCTCTCCCCACCCCCCAGCTATGTGTTAATTAGTAAGACTTGCATCAATAAATCTTTATCGTCTATGAAAAAGATTGTGACAAATATCTAAAAATATTTTCTGGCTTTTTTACGGCTTATCAACCTTTTCTGGGTTGATAAGCCGTAAAAAGTTACTCAATCAATCAATCAATCGTAGAAGTTAAGTATTATTCTCTTTGTTTGCTACGTAAATCTCCAGTTCCGTGATACTCTGTTTCGCTTTTGGAAAACATGTTTACGGGGTTTTAATGCTACTTCGGATTTCTGTGTCACACCCTCCGCCATCTTTTACTTCATTACACAGTTAAATTTTTGTATCTGCTTGATTTTAACATCCTCAATTTAAACCTTATTTTTACCATTCCTTTTTTATCTCCCTTCTGTTAACCATTCACATATGCAGGTTACTAGCTGTTTCTAAGCTTCTTTTGCCTTCATTATGTCCCGTAAATATTGAATACCCCAGATCTACTTTCTTCACTATATGTCACAGAAATTTCAACTGTCTCTTATTGTAAGAATACCTTTCTCTATTGTTCTTGTGTTTCTTAAAACTTTATCATTGCGTACATTTTCTCTCCATGTTATTTTCAGTATTCATCCGTAGAATCAAATCTCTGTCGTTTGTAATCTTATTTTCATCTCTGATGAATTTTCACTATTAGGAAATCAAATATTGCATAAAAGTTACACACTCCTTTCTTTGTTTCTTACTATCTCTTATTATTTTGTTTATTGAAGTTTATTAAAGACTCATTGAAGTTTATTATTTAGCTGGTAGGGTAGAGAGTAACGCATTGTAGCTAGGATTGAGGAATCAGAGAACCAAGTTCGAAATCCAGATAAGTTCATTTAATTTATTTACGTGCAGTAAATAGCAGGAAAGACATGGTTTTATAAGCTTGGGTAGCAATCGGTTCAAGAGAAGGAACAACTTTGAATTCAAATCTATATTTCGCCCAGGCCGACTATGGTTGATTCTTTTGTAGTTTATTCCAGACAAATTGTAGTTTATTAATGACTATTGTAGTTTATACCAGACGTATTGTAGTTTATACCAGACGTATTGTAGTTTATACCAGACGTAATTTAGTTTATACCAGATGTATTTTATTCCAGACGTATTTTAGTTTATGTATTATAGTTTATTACAAACGTATTGTATTTTGTACCAGGCGTATTGTAGTTTATTACTGACACATTGTAGTTTATACCAGGTGAATTATAGCTTATTACAGATGCATTGTAGTTCATTGCAGACGTATTCTAGTTTATTCCAGATGCATTATTACAGAGATATTGTAGTTTATACCACACGTATTATATTTTATTCTAAACATATTGTAGTTTATTGCAGATGTATTGTAGTTTATACCAGATTATTTTTCTTTACTGTGCTGTATTTTACTGTAGACGTATTATAGTTTATTCCAGACATATTGTAGTTTATTCCAGATATATTGATGTTTATTCCAGACATATTGAAGTTTATTCCAGACGTATTGATGTTTAGAAATCTTTTCTTAAAAAAGATGAAATCCGCGAAAAATATTCATACTTTTGATAAATCACGTTATTAGGATACATTTATTCATATACGAAGACTGATCAATAAGTCTGTTGTCTGACACAATTATCAAGTGATTTTTTTATCTAAAATTTTCAATGCGTAATACTTGAACTATGCGATTAATATTCACCACTGAATTAAGTGCATTGACAAGATAAAACATAATGCTGAAAAATCTGTTATATAAAATAAATACTTTATTCTTCATCTGGCTACGAACATATTGATGCATTTCTAAGATGATTAAATGTCAATGAATCAATAAATTTTAGTTTTGAAATCATTTCACTTCACAGACGTGAAGTGGGAAAAAATCGTTAAGAATAAACTTTTAAAAAACGCACATAAAAAGAAAGGAGAGAAAATGAGAAACTCATTTTATAATACGCACAGACACACGCACACTAACACACATATGTATGTATGTGCTTATGTATGTATGTGTTTGTTGTTTGTTTGGAAGTGATCATAAAATTAATATAAAAATAAAAAGATAAAAACGAAAAAAAAATAAAGCAATAAAGAAGGGATAAGAAAAAAGAAGGAAAAGAAAAAGATAAAAGGAAGAAGAAAGAAAAAGAAGGAATAGAAAAAAGAAGAAAAGGAAAAGAAAAAGGAAGAAGAAAGAAAAAAGAATAGGAAAAAAGAAGGGAAAAAGAAAAGAAGAAAGAGAAAAAGAAAAGAAAGAAAGATAAAAGAAAGAATAGGAAAAATGAAGAGCAAAAGAAAAAGAAAGAAAAAAGAAGGAAAAAGAATGGAAAAGAAAAAATGAAAAAGAAAGAAAAAACAACAGAAAATAGAAGGAAAAGATAAAGGAAAAGAAAAAAGAAAGAAAAAAGCAATAGGAAACAAGAAGGAAAAGAAAAAGAAAAAGGGAAAAGAGAGAAAGAAAAGATTGGAATAGAAAAAAGAAATGAAAAGAAAGAAAAAGAAAAAAGGAAGAAAAAGAAAAAAGATTAGGAAAAAAGAAGAAAAAGGAAAATGGAAAAAGAAATAAAAATGTAGGAATAGGAAAAAAGGAAAAAAGAAAAAATAAATTGGAAAAGAAGGAAAATTAAAAGTAAAAGAAAAAAGGAAAAAAGAAAGAACAAAAAAAAAAGGAACAAGAAGGAGGAAAACGAAAAGAAAAGTGGGGTGGAAGGAAAAAAAAAGTATGAAAAAAGAAAGTTTTATATATCCGGCATCTGAAGCAAACTGAATCTCTGTTTTTTTTTTTTTTGGTTTTTGTTTTTGTTTTGTTTTTTTTGTTTTTTTGTTTGTTTTTTTTTTTTGGGGGGGAGAAAACTGAATCAATCCAAAAATCATAATTCTTCAGCATCATTCAACTTTTCTTCTAAATTCATCTTTTCTAGAACGTTCCTGTCAACAGATTCACTTTCGGTCTCCATATCAGCGCTTCTTCTCATTCATTCTTTTAATTTTTACATAAAATTATTTTCTCAAAATTTTTTCAGAAGAATATTTTCCGACAATGTAATGAACTCTCGTGAACTCTCGTTCCTCTATCTAGACGTTATTTTATTATTAGTATTTTTTGTTTTTGTGTAGACCACAAATAATCGCTAAGCTTTTCTTTTATTCAAATAGTGATGACTTCTTTCTCTGACCATCACTTCTGTAATAAATAATAAGCTATATTGAACCGGAGATAAATTCGATAAAAATGTAAAAAAATTTGTCAAAATTAAAAACATTTAATGATGAAGAAGATTCGATACAAGACAGATTCGATACAAGACCATTTTAAAGTGGGCGCCAACATGCATACTTGTGCTTGAAAAGAAATATTTTTCTAGTTGAGGCTACAACTATGAGAGACACAAAAATCTGTTTAAACTGCAGTGGAAACTTGTTTTATTCGGAGATGAGATTAGAATTATCCGCAATAATTACTGGGAATAATCCGTGTGCATACGAAGAAGAAATGAATTCAACAATTAAAGAAAAGTAGACAGGGCGTGCGATAAGAATGCGTCCTCTTAACTTTTACGGCGAGGCGATCCTAACAGAAGTCCTAGCAGGAGATATTGATGGTGAACGAAGTCTTCGCAAAATAACATGCGCAGATCACACCTTATTGATGACGAATATGAAAGATAGGGCAGGTTGATTTTTCACTTATTTAAGAAAATCAACATTGCACTCGGTGAAAAACCTGGGATTTGATGTAATAAGTAAGTACACCAATTTTTGAGCATTTAGTCTTAAAGATTGCCTGAAAAAATACAGAAATATCTATCGTAATTCCCATGTATAATACGCATTTTTCTAAAAAATCATAAGCAAAATCAGGGGGGCGTATTATGCACAGCTACAAAAAATCTTTGAAAAATTAAATAAGAATTATCATAAAAATAAATTAGAATAATATTAATCTATGTTTAAATGCATTTTTTTTTAAATAAGAGTAGGAAACGCTGGCCGTAATGAAATTGGAGAGGTACAATTTATAGGGTTTAATTACCAAACAAGAGGTGCGTATTATACATCAGTAGAAGCATTTTCCCATACTTTCAGCACAATTTTCGGTGTGCGTATTATGGATGAAGACATATTATACATGGGGAATTACGGTAATTTTCGCCGCTTACAAACTGACTTCGGAATTTTACTATTACAAGAATAAATGGGGTGCTAAAAGCGTTATTATCTGGCAATGCACCAGAATTTTGCGATGATGTGGGTTCGTGGTTAATACAAACTGAATGCCTTCCTTTTAAAATACCACCATACCATCTGCAGACGAATGGAATTACAGAAAGAATGGTTCAGAGGGTGAAAATGGGATTGAAGGCATTTTCTCATCCAGAGACACCGTAGATAGTTACTTACTGAGACTATTACTGAGTTGTAGAACTATTCCTTCTTGCTGGTAGAATGCAAAGTCCCTCAGCTTTGATGTGACAACAAATTAGATCGCATATAATATCCTATTCAATAAATGTGAAAATGTGATACAAAAAAAAACAGAGTATCAAGTCCTGACAAATTTAACTATATTGCAAATAATAAGGCTATAATAGTAACAAGTGAACAAAATTTATTGGTTTACTAGCAGCATGGCCCGGCGTTGCCCGTGCTTGATTCAAAAATCGTACGACTCATACAGCAATCGCTATCACTTGACTTAGAAATATTTTTGCCCTTCCTTGCCTTTAAAGGAGTGACCTTTGCCGTGCCTTACTTCTTGCCTATCTCACAATGCGAATTTTTTCTAAGCTCTATACTAAACATTAAATCTGTTACGAAAAAAGAACTAAACAAAATGAACATAAAACGATCAGCTTTAAAAAAGGACTCGTAACTGGAAAAAAAAACGAATGAAAAAAGAATGTTAACAACAAATACTTTTTCACACCCAACCCAGTTCTGCGGAATCAGAATCAACGTTGAGTTTAAGCAAGCGAATGAGCCAATTGGAGTAAAGTGCCATGCAGATTTAAATTTTTCCCACTTGTGACGAATGCAGTTATCGATTTTTTTTGCATGCTAGCATGATAGTTAACATTCGTGTCAGTCAGCTGTTGGCTCTCACGCTCGTCAATAGAATCTTCCTGCCTATTCGTGGCAACCAGCTATAGGCTCTCACTGTGGCCAGTGGAAAATGGCCGCAAACTACATGAAAACTGCCGTAAAAGCATAAAAAAATCGATTATTTCTATCTACTATCGATGGGAGTTGGGAAATGCAAAGTCGGTTTTGGCCTTCCCGCTAACCTGGAGCATGTGCATGCAAATTTTGGTGCAAATCCGTCGAAAATTGCGGCCGTGCATTCGTTACACACACACACACACACACACACACACACACACACATCCTGCCTTTTATAGATAGAGATTCTGATCAAATAAGACTTAGAATTGATGACGAAGAACCGAGTTGGAAGAGGAGGATAAGGCTAAAAGAGAGGGGGAAGGATGAGTACTTCTGATGAAGAAAACCAACACAGTAGTAAAGAAACTCTGGCGAATAGTTCACAGGAATCCGACATGGAATTGGAAGATCAGAATGAAGATGGATCCAGATCTAGATCCCCAATAAAAAGAACCGGGTATACACCACAAAAGAGAGATAAAGTCTCATATTATTGTTAGGAGAGGTCCCAGATTAACGAGGGGCATAAAATCTCTCCGTTTCCGGTAGGTGTAGTGACATACACAGAAAGGACTTACCCTATTTTGCATAGTCAAGCGACAACTAATAAGTATGTCGTCACTCGGTACGGAGGAAGAATTTCTACGTCACAGGCTAAAAGACATCACAACAGCTAATCTATACGGTATTTTGTATATCATAAGTGCCGAACATGTCAAATAATTGAGTCGTTCGATTTGGTGTGTGCCAAGAATACGAGACACGCCAAAATCGAATGAAACATTTCTTTCTTTCGAGAAAACTTTGAATCTCCCAAAATTCCATAGTCTCACAAAAAATACAAAAAAAAAATGATGTTTTATCTGTCTAATTTATGAAACGTTTTTTACAATTAACTGAAAAATTGTGTATTTTTTAATGACATATCCCTTTTCGACGTAGGTGACCACGTCTCTCCACAGATTCCCTTTATTGATTATTTACCAATTACAGCTAGATAGATAGATAGATAAACAGATAGATAGATAGATATAAAAAGACTGTGATAGATAGATATATAGATAAAAGAAACACTGCGTTAGAAAGACATGAACAGATAGATATATAGATAGACATGAAACGACTGCGATAGATAGATAGATAGATAGATAGATAGATAGATAGATAGATAGATAGATAGATATGAAAAGCCTGCGACAGATAGATAGATCGAGAGATAGATATGAAAAGACTTTGCGATATATATATATATATATATATATATATATATATATATATATATTTTTATAGATAGATAGATAGATAGATAAAAAAAAAGCGATAGATAGCTAGATAGATAGATAGATAGATAGATAGATAGATAGATAGATAGATAGATATGAAAATATTGCGATAGATATGAAAAGACTGTGATAGATAGATAGATAGATATGAACAGAATGATATAGATAGATAGATAGATAGATAGATAGATATGAAAAGAGATAGATAGATAGATAGATAGATAGATAGATAGATAGATAGATAGATAGATAGATAGATAGAAATGAGGTGAACAATAAGTGAGTAGTAATAAAATTAAAGGACTAGATGTTGGCAATGGACCGAGAACCGTCTACCGCCATAGACTAGCTAAAAGGTTCAGTTCAGAACTGCCTGGAGGTTACACAGCTTGATATACACCTGATGAAGACCGCAGAAGACGACAATCGAAACTTTGTGAAAACAACAACAAAGATAAGGACAATCGTCCACATATAAATAGCATAAATAGTATTGAAATAACAATGATGTTTTCTTTTTAATTTATATGCATATATTTTCGATTCTCTAATAACATAAAATGATTTCATTAAAGGCTCTGTTTGTCATCTTGCGAGATTCGATATTTTCAGATCGATAAACCTTTGAAGTTGTTAATTAGAGCCGATCACAATCATTGATTATTGATTTTTTAATGAAGCAATTTTTGTCAGCCATTGGGATCAAGCTAAATATTTGCGTTTACAAAAGTAAAATAAAAAGAAATAGTGGAGGCGACACAATGACGTGGTTCAAATTACTGACAATCAATTTACACTTTTGATCCCATTTTATTTTACCGCTTCGACCATTGATCATTTCTCTCACTAAAAACTGAGGAGGCCGATTTCTGAAAGCAAACGAAGAATTGCGGAAGAGAGAAAATTACAACTTTCATTTCTTAATAAATAAATAGATAGATAGATAGATATGAAAAGACTGCTATAGATACAGAGATATGAAAAGACTGCAATAGATAGATAGAAAGATAGATAGATAGATTTTTTTTTAAGCATTTCACCCCAAACAAGGCGGGAAGCCACTAGGACGCAAGGGGTTACAGAAAATTGAGCAAGATCAGATAGGAGTGATAGAAGAAAGGATGAGGGTAGTGGATAGATTAAGGCAACTGGAGATGTCGATTGACATTACACTTGAATAGCTGGAGATTATACCTCACAGGGAAACAGGAAAAGGGAAGGGAGTTCCACAGGCGAGATGTGCGAGACATGAAGCTATTATAGTAGAAGAGACGGCTATATTTAGGAGTTTCAACAGTGAAAGGGTGAGAGCGGGATGTCAGCCTCGTGAGGCGCTGGAACTCGTGACGTCTGGGAACCAGCGAATGCAGCTCCTCAGAGCAATTTCCATGGAAGTATTTGTAGAAAGATATGAAAAGACTGCAATAAATAGATTGATAGGTAAGAAAAGTCTGTCATAGATATAAAAAAAAACGATAGTTATGAACAAGATAGATAGATAGATAGATAGATAGATAGATAGATAGATAGATAGATAGATAGATAGATAGAAAAAGAAGAAAGAAAGAACTGGAGATATATATTATTGAATATACGTATAAAATACAAATGACAAATCTTTCGAAAAAGAATCTCGTAATTTTACTTAAATTCCTATTAAATATCGTTCTGTCTTTTCATAAGTAATCTTAGATCCCTCTTGATGGCCCACTTGGCAAAGATATTTACACTCAGATTCACATCGAATTTAAAATTCGTTATTATACAGGGCAAAGACAATACGTGCCTTCAATGAGGAATTGATTTCATCATAATTTGAGACAAGAGCCTGCAAAGAGTTTAGACTCTATTATATTTCATATACATGAAGTATTCATTTCTGTGAGTCTTTCTCTTGAACTTGATGGATAAAAGCATAAAAAAATGACGTCTAATATGTATTAGAATAACGTAGACGAAAAATTCTCATCAAACTGGGTTTCAGATAATTTGAATGACGCATAAACAAAAAAATCTAGAATCATTCTTGGACAGGAGAGAAAATTGAAAAAGTGTTATTCAATGGGATTCCAAGAATTTATACGAATTAAAAAGCGGTTACCATATATTCTCAGACATGCAGAATATCATAAGACGAATCTCTTCTCCACTTGCGCAAAGAACTGTTCCAATTTATGGAATCTGAAAGTTGCTTCATACTACAGAAACACAATACTGAACAAAGACAAAGAGACTCTCTAACAGACAATTGGTAAATTAAAAAGAAAAATATAGATATTCACGAGCATATGTATGTTGAAATAATAAAAATGCTTTATCGCAGACTTCCACTTAGTATTCGGAGTAGCAGAGAATTTATTTTAGTGTGTGTACCAGTGATGTGCCCTCTACGTTAGAAGTGCCTACTCTGAATAAAATAGATCAGCAGCTGTATTCTCTTTCTGTGGCACAATATGCATCCCATCCAAAAATCATGAAGGTTATTCTGATTATTATACATAAAATGCAAAATATTTTATTTTCCTAGATTTACTACATATAAGTTTACAAGCTGCCTACCATGAGAAATTACTGACGGTACATGCCTGATATATACACTGCTGGCCAAAATCCTAAGCCCAATGAAAATACAGACAAAATATACGTTTTGCGTGGTTATTTAAGCTCTACTGAAATAAACTCGACTGCTGCCAGATAGTTATAGCTGCCACCTTCAAAAGTACAATAAGTCCTACACAAGATCCTGCGATTGTCCGCCCACAAAGTGCAACTCTAAGAGGCACTCGAGCCAGATGATAAACCAAGACGAAAAGAGTTTGCAGTTAAAATGCGTAAACAAATTTCTGACGATGAAACTTCTCACCCGAGTTTGATTTAGTGATGAGGCAATCTTTCATGTTTCAGGGAAACGGAACATATATAATGTGAGAATTTGAGGATCATTTCCCACCCCACTCCCCATATGAGAAGGACACTTCGCCGAAATAGGTGAATGTGTGGTGTGGGATCATGTGCAGTCGAATCATTGCTCCATTTTTCTTCAACGAGATATCAATTACTGCAAATATTTACCTTGATCCTTTGACTGAATGCGTGGCACCACAACTGGATGACCTTCAACCAGCCATCATTTTCCAGTAAGATGGTGCAGCAACACATTGGGGACTAAATGTTCTTGGGTTCCTAAATCAAACTTTTCCAGACTGGTGGATTGGAAAAGATGGCCTAATTCCCTGACCATCTCGTTCACCAGATATCATTTTTCTTCTTTCTATTGGGTTTATGCTAAAGATATCGTGCATCGAACAAAGATACGGGACATCACAGATCTAAAGCAAAAAATTCCTGATACCATTGCCACCATTGATGAGGCTATGCTTCAGCGAAGTTGGCAAGAAATCGTCCTGATGAACTTCTTACAATTAATGGTGCCTATATGGAGGTGTATTAAATTAGTTTAAAAATACTTCAAAATATCCCCTTCTCATTTCGTAACAATTCCTACGTATTTATCTGTTCATTTGCTTTTGTAATATTTTTTTCAATTGTAAAGAGACTTTATGAAAACCCTATATATATATATATATATATATATATATATATATAAGAGAAAGAGAAAGCTTTTCATGAGCGACGACGCGTTTCTTCCTCAGATGGACTACAACAAGGCAAATATAGTCCTTTAAAGGACGAAACGTGTCGGTAAAGAAAATTTGTCTTTATTCATATTATTTGACAGATAAATTATTTATTTCTGAATTTTTAATCACACGCACACACACACACATACAGATATATATAGCATATATTCTATCACCATTACGTACGCACCGACACGTACGCTGTACTGAAGCACATATATGTAATTGGTAAATAGTATATATGTATTAAATTAAGTATTCGCTTATATCATGTTATCGTTTATCTAATGTTTCATTTTTATTTAATGGTTAGTAGTTTATTTGTTTTTACCTTGTTATTATATAATGAGTTTTTAATTATGGGGGATTAGGTTTGTTCGTTTGTCGGTGTTTCTGTAGGTGGGGATATACATATATTTATATGCACACACGTATATGTAAAAGTGTGTACACTTAATATTTGTTATTTTATTTATTAATATTTTTTAAGTTTATATTATATTTATTTCATTTCTTTGTTTATTTTTAATTAGTGCTTACATGGCAAAGTAAATATTTATTTATATCCTACATTTATCCATTACTTCAGTTTTCTTGTTGAAGAGTTTATTTTGGTTTCAATCAGCTAAGTGACAAACTTTTACTCATATTAATTCTGTTAATGCTCTGATATTAATGCTCTCTGATATCGAGTACGTTATTGCAAAGATTGCTTCACTTAAATGTCTTTTCTCTCAGTATCCCACTGACAGAGACACAATTTTGGGCTTCATTTACGCTGACATCGCTATATATATATATATATATATATATATATATATATATATATATATATATATATATATATATATATATATATATATATATATATATTCCGTATAGGTTACAGGTTCGAATCCTGTCGGAGGACGAATATTTTCTGTGAAAATTTTCAGGCCGGTAAATGCTGTTTATTATAAACAGAGCATTTACTTAAATATTTGTAACTATAAAAAAAATGTATAAACATAAAAATATCTATATATAAGCCTTTTAGATTTATTTACACTCTTGGGAATATAAATGTATATAAACTATCGTGGCCACAAAGTGAGGGATCATTTTATATATTGATTGTAATAAAGAATTGATCTCCCACTTTATATCCACATTGTAATTGCTTGTTTGTTTATTAAATTCTGATTAGGTCATCATTTACGTCTTCTCCCCACCAGCTATGGGTTAATTAGTAAGACTTGTATCACTAAATCATTATTATCTCCCCTAAAAGTTCTTACACTCTAAAAATATTTCTTGGCTTTAAATAACATTCAAAGGGTTGTTAAGTCATAAAAAAATGAATCAATCAAATACAGATCAGCTACATAGACTTTTTTTGTTTTTTGTTTTTTGTTTTTTTAGATTTATTTACATTCTCTGGAATCTAAATGTATAGAAACTACCGTTACCACAAAGTGGAGGATCAGTTTATATATTGATTCTAATATAGAATTTATCCTCCACTTTATATCCACATTATAATTTTTTGTTTGTCAAATTCTGATTAGGTATCCGCCTCGTTTCCCCAGCTATAGATTAATTGGTAAGATTAACAGTATCACTAAAATCATTATCTCCAAAAAGTAAAATTGCGAAAAATTAATTTTATTTCGACATTAAATAACCAACAGAAGTTGATATACCACGAAACAAAATCAACCAATTTGTATTCTTTGTTTGCCTTAGTGCGAGAATAACCTATAGTTTTAGTGATTCTAAAATTATTCTCCGAATATATTCGACCCGATCATCAGAATGTCTCCAGACTTAATGACTACTTTTCACATTGCTAAGAATAGTGTCTGATTGATTTCATTATCGGCAAGCTATTACTCTCATACAAATTGTATATTCTCCATTCTTCCGAAAATATAGACATATTTAAATGCTTCTAAATTTAAAACAATGTGTCTGTGTGTGTGTGACATCTGTGGGTTTCGAGAGACCATGGATCTGTGCCCTAAAAGTTATGCTGATGGCGGCACAGGATCGGTTATGAGTGTACATGACTACACGGGTGCGATTAGAGCGAATGCACGTAAAGACAATCTCACCCGATGTTTCCGTGTTGCTTTTTTTCATTCGAACACGCTTCTCCACGACGCCAACTCCCCGTTTCATCTCTCCTCTCTCCAGCCCTCGGGTTCTTGTATGTTAATCGTTGAAGTATTATTTGCAAACCAGGAATGATATGTGGCATTCGTCGGTCTCTAGAAACCATGGATCTGCTCCCCAAAAGTTGTTTTGTTTCCTACCAATATGCTTCACCCGGGCGGCAAACCTGCGTTTCTTCTCTCTTCGTTTCAACTAAGGATTTAAATCGCGTCTCCCGTGTGAGTGACCGTTGGCGATATC